TCACTCATTTGATGCTGCCTGACCTGCGAGTGTTTTCTGAAGAATTTCTGACGAGTCCGACCCAAAACATCAACTTTCCTGCTCCTGATGCTGCCTGGCCTGCTGTGTTCCTCCAGCTCCACACTATGCTATCTCTGACTCCAGCATCTGCAGTTCTTGCTATCCCTCTTTTTTTTTTTTTGGTGTGTTTTTTTTTGATAAATAGAAAGAACTTGTTCCTGATCTTTCTTCATAATGTGTAGGTTGTTTCTTAAGTCACTAGTTTGAAATCCAAACTGAGCATGTTTGCTTACACTTTTCATTTAAATGGTTTAAAAATTAATTCCATTAGTCCTTCGCAACCATTATTTTCGGCCAGTATGTATCAGAGTAGATGACTGTAAGGCCTCAGCATGTTAATGGAAGTTGTTTGTGGTGGGAGTTAACGTTCAGAGAAAACATTGTTTAGCTTAGAATCTAGCATTAGCAGTTTGTCAAAAAATTAGTACCAACACTTGGAGACTGTATTGAAGGAAACCTGACTGAAGTCAGACATGGATATGGACCCTATTTGCTTTAGAAAAGGAGATTGTCTAAAGTATTTAAGGAAGTAAACTACATTGTCTCTGAAGTAACGTGAAGCTGCCAGATCAGGATTGTTTTGTTAGAACAATGCAGATTAAAGGACTGAGTGCAAACTCTGAATTGAGAGGATTCAAGGAAAAGGCTTTTTAGGACCACAACTGAAGTGTTTAAATCAATCTTAAATAGGGAGGAAATATTTCTTTAGATTCTGATTGTTTGAGTATATGTAACTTGGCTTTTGAAGTGTTTCAAATTGTTAAATTTGATTGTTTATTTTGCTTTTATTTTGTGTAATAAAATTGTTTTCTTGGCTTATGCTCGAGTAAAAGACTGCCTCGTTTAAAGACAGAAGAATTCCACTCCACCATTTACAAATGGATGATGTATTTCCATGTTGTGACGTTAAGTGACATGATCGTGAACTTTAAAAGTGACGGTATTTCCATGCATTTACACTCTGTGGTTTGTGTTTTCTTTTTTAGGTGTCTATATCTTGATTGGAGCTGGTGCACTAATGATGGTTGTTGGATTCCTAGGATGCTGTGGTGCAATTCAGGAATCCACTTGCATGCTTGGATTAGTAAGTTCAAATGCATGATCTATAATGTTGGCTTGTGAGCAGAAGAACTCTTGTAAGCATCTGACTTGCACAAATGTGCATCAAGTAAATGAGCATATTAAAAATAGAATTTAATGATTATAAGGCATATCTTTGCAATTTTTACCGTAGTTTGGCCTAAGATGTATAAGCAGATTTAAAATTGGGGTGAGATTAAAACTAAACTGCTGACAGCCTTGTAGCTTGATTATCTTTTAGCCCAATATGGAGTGTTATTTTTTCCCTCTGGATACAGACATTCCACTTAACTGTGGGGAGATCAGGTACAGTTTACTCGGACCAAAGTTTAAGGTGCTCCAGGTGTGCTTCAAATCTTACTGCATTTTAACAAACAAAAGCCATTTTCTACCAGCAAATGAGCTTATTTGCTACTTATTCAGCCAGAACCATACTACTTAAGGCCTCAACTCAATGGGCAATTGGCAGTATATTGTAATTAATCTTAATCCTTGGAATTCCAAAGGCTGGATCTTTTATGAAACTAAATTGGCTAATCCAGTTGTCCAACAATTCCTTATGCTTTGGACCTGCTGGTTCTGGTATTGAATCACCCAGTTTCAAACAACAATTAACATGTCAGAATGCTCGACCATGTGTCTCACCTCAAGAGCTATTCCATGCTCAAAAATTGCAACTGAAAAGCAATATCACTAGATGTTTGCCAGATAGCTGATGAGCAGGGATTCGAGCCTGTGCTCAGTGGGCGCCAGATACAGAAAACCTGTTGAAAGTCCTACATCTTGAGTGCATTGCCAGCACCCCCTTTATTACAGCATGGGCATAGCTAATGGTATACCTGTTGAATTGAAATGCCAGATATACATTCCTTCAGTACCTCCGATACTTTATTTGCTGTAGATCTCAGGTTCTGATACTCCAGCTTAACATCTTCCAGTGCTTGCCTTGTTTTTCATATATTTAAAAATAGATATTCACTTTCTTGCAATAAAATATGAATTGCCAATCACCTTGATGTGCCAAAGTTAATATTCTCCAATTGTGTAATTCAAGCTTTAATGAGGAAGTCTACCAAAGTGACCTTTTATGAAAATACCAACTTTTTGCCTCATGGGCAACTATATGCAATTGATTTGGAGCTTGTCTTCCTGACCTCCCTTTTCCTGTTGTATGCTCTGACATGATCTTGGATCATGCATGTGGTCAGAAGGAAGTCTGAAGCATGAAGGAGAACTGTTTCATATACCTAGTGTGTATATAGGGAAGGGCTAAAATGACCTTCACCCTTTTTATTATTACAATCACCAGATTGTACAGATAGTCCAACCTGGGAAGTGCTGCAATTATCCCCACTTGGACACCTTGCAATGTTTGCACACCTGTAAATAAAATACACCCACTTTGAGCTAATACTACACACAAAGTAATACTCTACTTGGGCTCTGGTCAGAGGTGACCGGCTACCAGACAAAATGTAGAGTTTTATTTGGACATGCATTTGGTTTCACTAACAAATATTGCCTTCTATCTGGGTCATTAAGTAGCCTGTCTGACACATGTCGAGTACAATTTCAATTGTGAATTGCAAATAACATATTCTAGCAATTGGAGGGCACATTAAAAAGTGTAATCAATTGTAGGGGTGATCGTGCCATTTCTCCCACGCTGTTAATTGACAGCACGAGTTCATGGAGGTGAAGTTGCTCCCCTCCTAGCATTCTTTCCTTCCTTGCACCTCGATCTCCAAATGTCCCTTGCATATCCTGCAGCGTGGTTCTCATGAACCTGTCCGGGCCAATATGTTGTTTAGAAATGTCTGTGGAAGTCTTAAGTTTGTATAGGAAATAATTTCAATCAAAAATGTAGTAAGCCTCATGAGGAACGAGTCCAGGGCTTGTAACCCACTATACACAATGAGAATGATTTGAAGAGTGGAGAAGTTTTTTGTTTCTCGTTTTATTGCAAAACTTGAACAGGACCAATTTTAAGGAACACATCCACATAGTGGTAGAGTCATGATGCAGGCAACCTGGTCGCCGAACTGGGTGAGCAACCATGCAGTTGTATTAATCTTGCACACAATGCATCTTTGACTGTCCTAAAAATATTATGTTTTTAAATCTGACTTTATACACTGAGGTTTTGATCCCAAACAAATTTTTTAGAAAAATGAAATTGCTCTGTTTTTCAACAGATTTCCGTTTCTGATAAAACTGTTTAGATAATCATAAGCATACTAGTATGTTAGTTTCAACATCGCCCCACTACTAAAATGTATATGTTGGGTGACCAAGTCTGAATTGTTAAATACAGGCATAGCTGTAGAGATGTACGGCACAGAAACAGACCCTTCAATCCAACTTGTCCATGCCAATCAGATCTCTTCAATCTAGTTGTATTTGTCAGCATTTGGCCCATATCCCTCTTAAACCCTTCCTATTCATACACCCATCCAGATGCCTTGTAAATATTGTAATTGTACCAGCCTCCTCCACTTCCTCTGGCAGCTCACTTCATACCCACACCACATTGTGTGGAAAAAGTTGCCCCTTGGGTCCCTTTTTTTTTTTTTTTTTTAAATCTATCCCCTCTCACCTTAAAATCTATGCCCTCTAGTTTTGGACTCCTCACTCTGGGGAAAAATACCTCGTCTGTTTACCCTATCCACGCTTCTCATGATTTTAGAAGCCTCTATAACATCACCCTTCAGCCTCTGATACTCCAGGCAAAATAGTCCCAGTCTATTTAGCCTCTCCCTGAAGCTCAAACCCTCAACCTTGGCAACATCTTCAAATCTTTTCTGAACCCTTTCTAGTTTCACAACATCCTTCCTACAGCAGGGAGACCAGAATTGTATGCAGTATTCCAAAAGTGGCAGATCCGATGTCCTGTAGAGCTGCAACATGACCTCCCAACTCCAATACTCTTCACTGACCAATAAAGGCAAGCATACTGAATGCCGCCTTTGCTATCCTATCTACCTGCAACTCTACTTTCAGGAACTATGAACCTGCACCAGTGACAAAGATGGATCCTCCTCCAAACAATTGGACTTTATTTCTGTTAGATTGGGATCTAACTCTGGACTATAGTTGGACTTAGACTGTGACCACAACATCGTGCGAGCATGCGTGTGAACAATCTGAGTGCATCCTTTTGAAATATGGAGTTTAAAGTTGAATCTCTGTTACTGGTTTTTAAATAATTTGTATGTAATACAACAATCTTCTCTTTCAGTTTTTCTTGTTTCTCCTCGTCATATTTGCGGTTGAAATAGCAGCTGGAATTTGGGGCTTTCTGAATAAGGACCAGGTATGGATCAGTTCCTAATTTTAGATACTTTTAAAATTATTTCTTGTGCTGAACAAAGTCATGAACGTTAGTGTTGAGGAATTAAAACAGTAAACTATTTCAACCATCAATTATCACCAGCTATTCCCAAGTTGAATGTAGTAAAGCTCTACTGTACCATGTTACCGCACCCCATATCCATCTGGGTAAGTTTCTATTTCTTACACCAATCACAAGTCTCTAAGAATGCTAAACTGCAGAGGTTGGGCCTCTTGTCCCATGACAATGAAAAACTGGACTGAGGTTGTCAAATTACTCCAACTTGGGAACTTCTGTCAACAGCAAGAGAAGTTAGTGGATAACCCACAGTGCCATGCAGCTCTCCCTTATCAGTTTTATTCTTTGCAACATCTTTCTGGCTGATGTAACTCTCCAAGTCCATTAAATAGATGCCCATTTAAGTGGTGGCTACTGTGTGCCAGGTCAGGGAAGAGTCGAGTTGATAGAGGACTTTCCTATCTGAGTCTGAACTCTCGCTGGAGCTGCTGTCTCTCTTCCACAAAGAACTGCATGGCTACGCTGCTCAATAACCAGCCCAGCTTTACTGGCCTTTATCCCCACTCCTGGGTTCTCAGTCCCAGGCTCACCAGACAGTGCAGAAATCTGGCATTAAAAGGGCCACATGTATGTGATCAGACAGTCAAACTGTTACACGTGCATTCTGGCTTAAGGGCATCTGCCACCACCAGTCCCTGATATCACCATGTGTAGGCAAAAAAATTGAGCCTTGTTTCCATTTGAGCTAACTACTCCAAAAATAAAATCCAGTTATGCGCAAGGGCACTCAGATCCTTCTAAATGCAAACGTTCAAAAATGCTCTTTTTCTCAGTGAAGCTTCACATTTTACCACATGGTATTCTGTCTGCTGTCCCCTCACCCAGCCTACGTCTGTCTGCATCCGAGTTGTCCTGTATTTACTTTCCAACTTCAAAATTTGCTGAAATACAAATTTGGATACATTGCATTTAGTTCCCTCATCTAACCTATTGATATAGATTGAAAATAGTTGTCCAAATACTAATCCTAGCAGTGCTTTCAGTTACAACCAACTTAATGTCTTTCTTGGATATTTTCTAATAACCCTGTTAAGGAATGTTATTACGTGGCTCTGGACCAGGTGGGATTTGCTTCCTTGCTTGGTGGTAGGAACATTACCATCACCAAGTGTCCAAAAATGTTCTTTTTATTCCTAATTTACTGTCCATTATCCAAACCTCATGCTCGCTCGATTCTTGGTTTCCTGTTAGTTCTAAGTTGTTCATTATATTTCTACAGTGAAGATGGATAAAATTTTGTTTAATGTCTGACATTTTGTCAATTCCTAGAAGAATTTCACCTGTTTCTGACGCCAATGAGCCCACCCTGATTTTAATCTTACAATTTGCATACCTACAGAAATATCGTCAATCATTTTTTTACATCCCTTTTAATGGTCTAAATTCAAATTCCTTTGCTCTTTCCACATCACCACCTTTTGTCTTAAAATCCTCCCAATTCTCAGACTTATTCTGATTTTGGAATTTATTTCCCATATCAGTGCGTGTGGACATGTTACAGCACTCTTTCAAGACAGCTTGGAATTGAACCCAAACAGTTGAGTCACCAACAGACCCAATTTTGCAAGATTACAAATCTCTTTGACCAAGTGGTTCCATCTTCAGCTTTTTTTAGCCACCGTTAGACCACGTGTTCTGTATGTTATTTCGATTTTAATATTTCAAATCATGTATTATTTAAATACTGACTGTTTTTTGTCTATCATCATAATCTTTCCAATCTAAGTGACTACTTGTGTATCAGGCCCAAGTAATCCTGGTTTTGGATTTGGCTAAATCATATTCAAATTCAATATGAAAGTCTATTCCATTATAGTCACTCCTCCCTAGCAGTATCTTTTTCTACAAGTAACTTTTTTTCTCATTGCACACTACTAGATCTAAAATAACCAGTTTTCTGCTTGCTTGGTCGCTCAACATGCTGAACCAGAAAACTCTACTATGGTTACGTTCCAAGAATTTGTTTACTATGTTACTGCAAATTTAGTTTGCCCAGTATGTGTGGTTTGAAGTCCCTCGTGATTACTTCACTACTCTCCTTGCATCTCTAGTTCCCTGATTTGCACTCTACAGCAACAGTGAAGGAGCCTAATAATAACTAATCCAAATGTGTCATATCACTGGCATTTTTTTGAGATTGTCTTGATTGTTTGTTTGTTTGTTTTTTTCCCCCTTTGATTATTATGAATGTTAGAAACCTGAGCCTTAAAAACAATAATTGTTTGGATTGGTCAGCATCTGTCAAGGGGGCACAAATTGATGTAGCGTTTTCTCTTTTGGTACCATTACAATTTTGGCACTAATTTAAATGCAGCCATATTTCTTTGGCATTTATTGCTATAATGCAAGAGGTAATCTTCAGTTTGCACCTTTTTAACATGAGTCACATGATTAGTTAGATTTCTAATAATTTTCCTCATGCTTAACTGAATCCTGCAGGTCACTGAAGATGTGACGCAATTCTACCGATCGTTGTATTCTGAATATGTGACCAATCATGACAAGAGTAAGGAAGCAGCTTTAGTAGCAATACAGAAAAGTGTAAGTTATTAAATCTCTTGGCTTTTGTGTTCTTTCTCTTCCTTTGCCCAACTTGTTTTGTCAGTTTGACCAGCTTGAAGTGCATTTACACTTCAGTGTCTGTGTGATGTGATCTTTGCCTTCGAACTGACTATAAACTTGTGTAGTATACATGTGTTAAGGCCCAGTCGGCTTTGAGGTGAAGTGTGGTAAAACTCCTATTTTGAATTAAATCCTGAATTGAAGCTCTGCTTTCCATGCAGGGAGAAAAAACTGAGCAGCAATTCTAAAGGGCCTTAAATGCTCCATGTTTCTTTTCTGTTCTTGGCTATTTGACTTAGCAGCTACCATCATTTTAACATCATGATTGTAAGATGACATTTATTTGTTAGTCCGATAGCCAGACCTTCTCTGCGACCCAAGTGCCTTTTCAGAAATGCTAGAGCAGAATGAATTGTGACACTATTACTAGTGTCACAAATAACTCCCCTCAGGTGATTACCCCCATGCTCCTCCAGAAAAATGCACGTTTCTCCTTCTTTTTTTTTCTTATTTTGTATTGGAAATGTGGTATCTCAAAGCTTATTGACCTTTTTAAATGAATAACTTTCATCATTCTGGAGGATAAATGACAAGGCATTCAGAAAAAGAGACTTGCATTTTATTTACAGTCACCAGGCATCTCAAAGCACTCCAGCTAATGAATTACTTTTTGAAGTGTAGTCATGATTGTGCTACATTTTCAAAAGCAAAACCTATATTTACATATCAAGATGCCAGGAAAAAAACCTAGAAAGTTGTTGAAATGAAACATTGTAATTGTCCAATACTTTATTACCAATGATACCAGCTGACGAGGGTATGGGGGAATATATCTCTTGTATATATTAATCTCTTGGAGTATGAGCTTTTGTAGAAGAGCAAAAGCAACTCTGCTATCCTATTACTAAGTCACATCATGGGGCTAATTTTATACAAAGATTCCCTGGTACTGTCTATACTTCTAACAGAAGCAACAAAACCACAAGAATCCATTAAAGCATGTGTGAATGCCACATCTGTGGCAGGCATATTTTCTTCACTCAGCATCTATTTGTTTTTTTTAAGCAGAACATTGGAAATGTATGGAACCAGCTCTCCCTGTTAATGGGTCTGTGTTTGTGCCAGATGATTAGGATAATCTGGATTATAGCAATAGATGATTTGAGGCTCTTGAATGTGAATTCTGAGCAGTTATTCATCTAAACCTAGTGAGAGCATCATGTGATTAAATGACCTAAATAAAATGTGGAAATCCTTGAATGCCACTTTTCTCTTGCATTGTCTTATACTGTTATCAGGGTGTATAGTGAAGACTGAGCCCCAGTAATGAGAAGTTGTAGTTTTAAAGACTTGTTTCAGATATAGCCATGCCCAGTATCACCAGTGATTTGGAATTATGCCAGCACAAACAATGTAATTGAGAGGTCAGTCATTTCAACCCTCATCACTAGGAGAGTTCCTCAGTGATGTATTGGGCAGCCATCTTCAGATGCTTCATTTGTCAGAAGTGGGAAGTAGCTTTGTTCAGCATCATTCTTAAAGTCTAAGCTTCTCTTAGCTGATGTGCCCCTTACTGCCCACCCTAGCAAAACCCGGACAGAGTTCAAGCCTGAGCTAACAAGTGACAATGATGTGTAAATACCAGGCAACCACCATCCTGTACGATGTTCAACAACATTCCTATGGCTGAAACCCCAACCTCAGCTTCCTGGGTAAGGAGGGAGGGGTCTGATCATTGACCAAAGAGATATTTAAGGAATCGACCACATTACGAATACAAAAGCCGCCTCCGAGGCTGAGAATTGTCCAGACAATAACTTGCACAGGCTGAAGAGCGTGCAGGTGTTATCCCAAAGGCATGTTCTTGGAATGTGACAAGATTCATTACGTTTGTGGATGAGTGCAACTGGAACATACTCAAAGCAAGACCACCAACCAGGGTAAAGCCATCTACTTGGTCAGCACCTCATTCTCATTTACTTCTTTCACCTGTGCACAGTGGCAGGAGTGTGTTTCATCTGCAAGATGCATTCCAGCAAATTAACATTCTTTCAACAGTGCAGTGCCTCAATAGTTAGCACTGTCGCCTCTCAGTTCCAGACTCTGGCAACTGTCCACATGAAGTTTGCACGTTCTCCCTGTGTCTGTGTGGGTTTTCTCCCCACAGTCTAAAGATGTGCAGGTTAGGTAGATTGGCTATGCTAAATTGCCCGTGGTGTCCAGGGATGTGCAGACTAGGTGGATTAGCCATGGGGAATGTAGGTTTATAGGGGTAAGGTAGGAAGGTGGGTCTGGGTGGGATGCTGTTCGGAGAGTCGGTGTGGACTCGTGGGGGCTGAATGGCCTGCTTCCACACTGTAGGAATTCTTGGAACAATGCTTTTTAAACTTGTGACCTATACCACTTGACAAATAAGGACAAGCGGGCACCTGGGAGCCCTACCATCCTTAAGAACAGTTCCAAATCCCATATCATCCTGCTTTGGAAATAGATCGCTGTTCTTTTACTATGGCTGGGTCAAAATTGTGGAAGTTGCTCTAACTGGATGCAGTATATCTAAACCATGTAGACTCCAGAAGTTCATTAAGATGGACAGTTAATCCTGACATGGATATCATGTATGGGATGTGGACAAAAGAATGCAGCTGTATTTTTAATTGGTAATCCAAAATGGTATTTAATTTTACAAAATGAGAACTAGCTGTTGAAAAGGTAAATGATAATTGTTTTTGCTGGTTA